GTAAAATAAAATCTGAACTCCATATTGTGACCCTCAGTCCCCCAGTGGTGTGGGCCTCACCTCCATGCTGGCTTCTGGGATCCTCAAGGCAACAGTCCCTTCCACCTGAAGGCCTTTGACCCTCAGACTTCCCCCCTGCTCCCCATCCTCCAGCCTTTGACTTCCATTTGACTCAAAGAGACTGTCCAGGGCCATCCACTCTCTCAGCGTCCTGGGCTCACTCCCTTCCTGGCACTGTGATGACCAGCAGTAGTCGTGTATGCATTTGTTTAGTTGTCTGTCTTTTGTCTTCTCTACTACAATGCAAATTCCATCAAGTTAGAAGCTGTGCTTGCTTTTTCAGTGATAAGTCTTGAATGCATAGGATAACACTGGGCATACAGTAGGCACTCAAAACCCAATAGTTAAATGAACAACTGGGCTTTTCTTCTCCACTTTTAAAAATACATATATGTTTTTATTGATTTCAGAGAGGAAAGGAGAAAGAGAGAAAGATAGAAACATCAATAATTAGAGAGAATCATTGATTGGCTGCCTCCTGCACACCCCACACCGGGGATCAAACCCGCAACCCAGGCATGTGCCCTAACAGGGAATCTAACCATGACCTCCTGGTTTATCGGTCGACACTCAACCACTGAGCCCCGCTGCCTGGGCTTCTTCTCCACTTTTTAAAAAGTGTGTGTAGTCTCTGCAGCTTTTAAAGGTTTTAGAACCAGCCCTTTCCAGCTTGAAATTTTACATCTTTGCATTTATATTTTTCCTTTGTCTCATTTTCACAAGTTTTTGGAAAAGACTATGTGATGCTCCCCAAATTAGTCATAAATTTAAAGTAATTTTAATCAAAATCCCAATATGATTTTTTAGAACACTTGACAAACTGATTGTCAAATTCCCACAGAAGAGTAAATGCTTAAGAATTACCAAGGCAATCTGAATAAGTCCCAAAGGGAAGAGATAAGATTTGCTCCCTGTGAGATCAAGACCTGTTACAAAACTAAGGTCATTGAAACAGCCCCTCTTTGCTCCCAGAGGTCAGGGGTGGGACTAAAAGTGCCAACCCTCTAATCATTTGCTTGGTTCCCCTGGCAACCAGCTGTCATTCTTAGGTTACTCCATGGCTTTCCAAAAGTCACCTTATTAACATAGCAGATATCCTATCCTTATCATTCTCATCATTGAGGAAATCTCAAGGGTTTTAGCAGCTCGGTGCCAGAACCAAAGACAAGGCCAAGCATATATGTCTTATTATAGATCACAATATCACAGCAATGCTCAGAGTTTTTGGAAGAATGTGTTCATCTATCTCATGTGTAATTAAATGATTAAAAACTTATTTTGTCATTTAGGAAAATAAACTGGTTCTCATTGAATTAGGTACAAAAAATTGAGAGTAAGCCATTACAAATGTTTTATAGCATCTGGTATTGCCCTGACATTCACACTCATGATCAGTGGGCTCACCTCAATAAAGAGGGTGTAGGCCAGTTGATGAACTGAGTGAATGTTCTCTGGCTGGTGGTAGAACAGGGAGGCAGAGGGATTCCAAGTGAGAGAAAGATTCAAGATGTTGCTGGTGTGAAGATGGAGGCAGCTACCTGAGAAGGAATGTGAGTGGCCTCTCCAAGCTGAGAGCAGGTGCTGGCAGACCTTGAGCAAGAAAATGGGAATGTCAAAAAAAAAAAAAAAGGTGGGGGGGGAACGTCAGTCTTACAACCACAAGGAGCTGAATGAGCCCAGAAGCAATTCTTTCCATGAGCCTTAAGAGAAGTCCTCCAGATAAGACATCTGGGTTTCAGCCTGGTGGTACCCTGAGCACAGACCTCAGCGGAGCCCACCTGGCCTTCTGATCTATGGAACTATGTGCTAATAAATGGGTGCTATTTGAAAAACACCAAAACCACAAGAACTTGGATCAAATGCCGGGGTCAAGACTATATTTTCCTAGAATGCATCTTCTGCCCATATATTGGGAAGGTGGTACCCACATATCCCTTTCTTCTTCTCTGTTTTATATGTTTGTTTAAGGCTGTGATTCTTAGCTGGTGTGTGTGTCCATGTGCACGCTATACCTTCCCAGGGGACAGTTAAAAATGTTTGCAGGGGGCAAAATTCTGCAGGCATTTAAAATGATCACAACAAGTAGGGGTCTCTCTTGTGATTTACTGTGAGCATTGAAAATGCTAAACACTAAACATCCTACAATGCAGGGACCTTGCTGTCCCATGAACTGCCTGTTGAGAAACACTGGCCTCAGACCAAACTGAACCTCACATCTGTAAAAAGGTTCAAGATCTACTTATTTGGGGGGTGTGGGGAGAGTCTACAAATTTAAAATTGATTGTTGAGAGGTAGGGCAGGGGCTGGGTAGAGGGGGCAGAGAGGGGGCAGTGGAGGACGTCTGTAATACTGTCAACAATAACAAAATTGACTGTTGCGGAATTTCTTCACATTTCCATGTAGGCTGCTCTTCTGTGCGAATAGGATTCACCATCATCTAATGAGACTCACTAGATGATGAGTCTCACCCTTGCACATCGCTTGGAATCAACAGGTAGGAAGAAGGCTTAGTGCCATTGGTAGCCAAATGACAGTCTTGTTGACTTGTGGGTTGGTGCAAACTTCTGAGGAAGGCCAAGGGGCAGGTATAAAACAATGAGCGGCTGCTTCTGGTGTCATAGATTTTCTGCTGGACACATGTCATGGGGAATGGAAACTGGAGTTTGGAGAAGACTCCACAGTAGCCTGAGTGCAGGGCAGTGCGTGTTGGCAGCCGAAACTCGGCCCCACAAGAACTCAGCCCTCACAGGCAGTCTGGCCAGAGAGATTTATGGACCCCAAGGAACGCGTGGGACCAACGCCGCTCAAAGGAGGCCATACATTGTGAGGTTGTGACTGTCAAATAACATGTTGGGGTTTCTCCAGTGGCCCCAAGACTTCAAGATTACATCTTTAACACATCAATAACGTCGCCTCTGGTTAGCAAGGTTCGCTGGGGCGTGACTAATCAGCAGATGAAAGTGTCTTTGTGGGGATTAACTTTAATGAAAAGAAAAGGAATCGTTACTTGGGGAGTTTGAAATCTTCCATAAATCAAAGCGAACACTGACAGAGCAGGTTCATAAGGTAAGAATGAAGCCATTGTGGGGAAAATGAAGGAACAGCTACTTTTTCTATAAATCACAGGTCCAGGCTGCATTGGTTGAGGACTCCATGGGAACAGGACCAGTGAACCTCTTCAGGTGTAGAGGAATGATATTTGGGGAATGCTCAACTCTCCTTAAGGGAAACCAGATGGCCCCTGTCCTTATTAACCCTTTCCCACCAGCTTGCAAACTATCTGGCCATGGGCTTACTGAATCTCTGAGGGTGTGACCTCCACTTCTTCCAAATCTAACTTTCAACGTACATCCTGAACCCATCCATCCCTTACCAAAGGGTCCTGTAACTCGGACTATCCAGGAAACCATGGGAACGGCTCCACATAACCCACCGATCACATAAGAACGATGGCTTGGTGTCCCACGGGGAGCTTAGGCATTCAACTCGTAAGAATGAGCCCGAGATGGACTCCACCCTAAGCAGTGATTGACGTTTACTGCACCAGTTACAGGTAAAACTGGCATCACATCCCTCTGGAGGCAGTCACTGAGAAAGGAACAACATCACTAATGTCGTGATCCTGCCAAGAACGTGTAACCTGAGTCAAGTCACACAGAGACTACCAGGTAAACGCAAGTTGAAGGAAATTCAACTAAACAACTGGCTGGTTCTCTTAAAAAAAAAATCAATTTTGTAAAAGACAAAGAAATTCTGAGGAACCATTCCAGATGAAAGGAGACTGAAGAGATATGACATCTCAGTGCAGTGTGTCATCCCGGACCAGATGCTCATCACAACGAAGGCGTTGCTATACAACAGCCCTGGGACAACGAGTGAGATGTGCATATGACCCATTTTGTTTTAGTGCCAATACTGTATCAATGTTAAATTTCCTAATTATATAGCTGTTATGTAAGAGACTACCCTAGTTCCTAAGGGATACACATGGAAATATTTTGAGGTTAAAGTTCATGATGTCTGCAACTTACTATCACAGGGCTCAGGAAAAAATTACATAACTTACACTTTGGTGGTGAAACTTACACTTTGGTGGTGAAACAGATGCCTTAACAAATATAGTAAATATTATGAATGGCAAGAGTTGAAAGGAAAGAGTAACTAAAGACATGAATGACATCACAAAGGAAAATTGCCACTAGCTCAGATAGTTAGGATTCTCGTGATATTAATCATGCTTTAGATATAAGAAAGATGTGTGTGCGTGGTGGGGAGGGGCACGGAAGGGATATCATCCTTTTTAATCTGAGATTTAAAAAAAAAATTCTGACATGTACTCACATTTCACAGAAGGCTATTTCTTTCAAATAAAAAGTTAGGTGTTGGTTTCAACCGACACTTGCTCCTCTAAGAATTCTTCCAACACAGAAACTCATTTTCCCCTTTGCCTTAGATCAGTGATGGCAAACCTTTTGAGCTCGGCGTGTTTTCCCCTTTGTCTTAGATCAGTGATAGTGAACCTTTTGAGCTCAGCGTGTCAGCATTTTGAAAAATCCTAACTTAACTCTGGTGCCGTGTCACATATAGAAATTTTTTTGATATTTGCAACCATAGTAAAACAAAGACTTATATTTTTGATATTTATTTTATATATTTAAATGCCATTTAACAAAGAAAAATCAACCCAAAAAATGAGTTCGTGTGTCACCTCTGACACGTGTGCCATAGGTTCGCCATCACTGCCTTAGATGTTCTCCATCCAATTCCACTGGCCGCCGTTAATAGTTAAAAGGGAGAGACCTCTTAGGCTGAGTTATTAATGAGTTAACATATGAGACTTACTTCATGCCAGACACTAAGTGCTTTACCTACATCACTCATTTATGTAACTTTATGGTGCAGAGTGAGGAAACTGGGTTACAAAAGATTAAAGAACTTACTCAAGGTTGCAGATCCAGCAACGATAAAGATGGTACTCAAAAAAGCTGACCCGGCTTCAGAGTCAACTGCTCATAACCACTAGGCTGTGGGGCCTCTCGCTGTGACCTTATGGTGACAGGCACGGACCTCGAGACAGAATAGGTTTCAGTCACATTCTCTGTTGTCCACTCAATTCATTGATACATCTTGTGTCCAGTAGGTATGAAGGAAAAATTCAGGTTATTCATAAAACATGATGAGTCGAGAGACATCACACAGGAAATAGAAATTAGCAAATATTTTGAACTGAACCAAACTGGAAAAAAGCCACCGTATCAACATTTTGGCAGCAGCTAAAGCATGCTGAATGGGTCATTTATAGCTTTGAACACTTACATTGAAAAGGAAGAAAGTCTAAAATCAGTAGTTTAATCTTCCATGTCAAAAAGCTAGGAAAAAAGACTGATTCAAACCCAAAGTACGAGGTGGGAAATAATAAAGATCGGAGTGGAAATTAACAAATAGGACAGAGAGAAATAATAGAAGAGTCCAAGGAAACCAAAAGTTGGTTTTTCAGAAAGCCCCATGAAGCTGATAAACCTTTAGTGGAACTGACCAAGAAGAGAAAAGAGAGAGAAGGCACAAAATACCCAAAACAGAAATAAAAATGGTGTCATACCTAGAGACCCCACAGAAATTAAATCTTTTAAGGGAATATTCTGAACAACTTTATGCAAACAAATTAGAGATTTAGGTAAAGTGACCAAATTTCTAGAATAGCACAAATTACTAAAACAGACTCAAGAGGAATTGAGGCGCTCTCCCTCCCGGGAGCACGCCCATGCCTTTCCCTTCCCCTCCCCCCCAACCCCACGTTATCATTAGCGTCAAGCTCCCCCTCTTCTCCCTCCCCTGCCCCTCCTCTCCTCTGCCTGCCCCCATCCCAGGCACTCCCAAGCTCCAAGGGCCCTTCCTTTACCTGGATAGCTTGTTTGCTAAGCCCATTTCTTGTAGGAATGACTTCTTCTACCTCTGTAATTTACCCAATAAATGGTCTCTTATAAAAACAAAAGAGAGAAATTGAGAAAATATTAATGGTCTTATTAGTAAACTTCATCAAACATTTGAAAAGAAATAATGTTGATCCTACAGAAAATTCTTCATAAAATATAGGAAGAGGAAACAATTACTAATTAATTCATTGAGGGCAATATTAACTTGATACCAAAACCAGATAAAGACATCACACACACACACATACACACACACTAAAAAAATTAAATAAAATAAAAAACAGCTACAGACCAATATCTCTTATGAATAGATATAAAAATATTTAACATAATATCAGCTAACTGAATCCAGAAACATATTAAAAGAATTATGCACTATAAGCAAGTGGGATTTATCCTAGGAAAATAAGATAGGTTTAACATCCCAAAATCTAATAATCAAATTACGTAATACATACTAGTATATAAGTACAAAAACAGGACAAAAACCACTTAATAGATGCAGAAAGAGCATTTGGCAAAATCCACCCTCATTTATGATTAAAACTCTCAAAAAAAAAAAAAAAACAGGTATAGAAAGGAATTTCCTCAACCTGATAAAGGACACTAACAGCTAACTTCATATTTAGTGCCAAAAAAGCTGAATGTTTCCCCCTTAACATTGGAATTAATGCCAGAATGTCTGCTCTCACCACTTCTATTCAACTGAATGTTCCAGCCAGTGCAAGGAGGCATGACAAATAAATTAAACGTATACAGACTGGAAGGGAAGAGATCAAGTTCTTCTTTGTTTGTAGACATTCATATGAAAATGCAAAGGTCCTAAAGCAAAAAAAGTAAATTTGAAAACTTCAAAGCTTGAATGTAAACATCTGTAATTCTGCTCTAACCAGCAATTCTACTCTTGTGCATATGCATGTGACAAAAGAATGGATAAATGAATTACAGCATAGTCATGCAACGGAATATTATACATCCACAAACATGACTGAACTAGAACTACACCCAACATTGATGAATCTTAAAAAGATTGGATGAAAATTAACCCAGAAGACTACATACACTACATACATAGCATGATATCATTTTTCTAAAACTCAAAAATAAGCAAAAGTAAACAATAAGCACACATACAAATATAATTATATATATATATATATACTAGAGGCCTGGTGCATGGATTCATGCCCATTGAAAGGAAATTAATTAGAAGGTGGCCGGTGGGGCGGGACTAGGCAAGACAGGCTGGACATGCCCTGGAGTTGAAGGTCGTCTGCAGAGTGAGCAGGGTCCCACTGGCAGGTGGGGTCCCTTGGCCTGACCTGCAGAGACTGGGCCGAAACCGGCTCTCTGACATTCCCCAAGGGGTCCCAGATTGTGAGAGGGCAGTTCTCGGGTGACACACCCTGGAATCGGGCTCCCTCCTCTCTGATTCTGGATGTGTCACCCAAGAACCACAGCTGCCAAGTCACCACAGCTTGGTAGCTCCTGCATTGAGCATCTGCCCCTGGTGGTCAGTGTGCGTCATAGCTACTGGTTGGAGTGTCTGCCCCCTGGTGGTCATTGCCCATCATAGCTACCGGTCGGATTGTCGGACGGTTGGACAGTCGCTTAGGCTTTTATATGTATAGATATCAGTGATAAACCCCCAAATTCAGGATAATGATTCCTCTTGGGAGGAGACCTGGCATCCTCAGTGTGGAAAGAACTTTAGGTATATGAATTATTGGCAATGTTCTAGTTCTTTAGTTGGATAATGGGGTCACAGGTTTTCATTATATTATTAAGCTTTACTAGAGGCCCGGTGCACAAAAATTTGTGCACTCGGGGGGCGGGGGGAGGGGGGTCCCCCAGCCCGGCCTGTGCCCTCTCGCAGTCTGGGCCCCTCGGCAGATAACAACCTGCTGGCTTAGGCCTGCTCCCGGGTGGCAGAGGGCAGGCCCAATCCCTAAGTGCAGCCCCTGGTCAGGCTCAGAGCAGGGCCGATTGGGGAGTTGGGGCACCGCCC